AGAGGCAGGGATGAAGGGATGGATGAAGGGATGGAGCGAGGCAGGGATGGAGGGACGGATGGAGGGATGGATGGGGTGAGGGATAGATGGACAGAGGGATGGAGGGTCCCCTGGGGAGAACAGGATGCGGCGCCTCCAGCACTTATTTGATGGGGAAATTGGGTAAAGCCGCGGCGTGGCAGAACTTTGCGGGGGGATTTGGGTTTCCTCTGGGTTAGAGGTGCGGTGTAAGCCCTGGGGAGGGGAAAGGGAACCCGGCTGTCGGGGCAGAGATCGCCCGGGGCTCGCAAAGCAGGGGAGGGATCGGGGATGTGAGTGGGAACCAGGGCGGGTTGTGGTCAGAGAGAAGAGGGAGAGAGAGGAAAGGAATAGACTGAAAACCCCCAAAACAACACCTCCTCTCCTGGGCATCCCCCCTCGCTCCAGGGAGAGGGGAAGCAGCTTTTAATGCCAGCTTTTAATGCCAGCTTTTAATGCCAGCTTTTAATGGCAGCGTCAGGCGAGTGAACAGCAGCGCGCTGGCTCCGCGGCTTTGTGGAAAGTTTGCTGTACACAGCACAGAATGTCACATTTCGTGCCCATCATTAAAGCACTTCCAAGCCTTGGAAAGCGGCAAAGCAGGGCTTGGACCTTTACATCCCGGGGGGAAATACTGCTCAGCTGGCACACAAATAACTTTGGAAGTGCTGCCACCCCAGCGGATGTGGCAGAAGTCCCAAAACTTAGCGGGACACAGAGATTGTCACCTACCTCCCTGCTAAAAGGGAAGGACTCTCTCCACACTTTTTATTTTCTCCCCCACGGGAATCAGAGTAGCTTCTAGTGATCTGTAAATAACAAAGAGAAAAAAAAAAAAAAGTTCTAAGCTGAATTTGTATTGAATATATCCGAATGAATTTATTCTGAAGGAGGAGCTACAACTGCACATGTGCTCTCTACCATTAGTTGTTATTATACAAACACAGACTGAGCACAGTTTGTGTCCCAGCTGGCTGCTCTGGGTCTAAGCTGCCACATGGAAATTATGTGCTCTCTGTGCTCTGTGTGTGTTCCTGTGGGAAACAGAAAAAAAATATAAAACTCTCAGAAAGCAAATCTCAGGATGGAAAGAAAAAAAACTCAACATGTTCCAAGCCACCTATAACCAAAACCAGGTTCTGTTCTCAGCCTCCAGCACTGCATGCCCTGTAAAAGGCATTTCAAACCCCCAAAATATTTCTGTTTTTAAAATATTTCTTGGAAGATAAGTTTAGCACTGTTTCTACAGATGAGGAGAGTGGTAATAGGGGTGGTGAAATAAAGATCATGCCATTATTAGTGGAGTCAAACTAATAATTAAAAGTTTGTTTAATTAAGGAAACAAGCAAGGAGCTGTAGATTTTATACCCTGACATGTTTGAGACTGATAATTTATCATCAGATGAAGATGCTGAGTTCCAGAGACCACAGAGCTATCCCTCATGACCCAGTTTTCAGTGTGTTTTCTGTAGTGTCAACACCAATTCTTGTCCCTGTAGCTCCCAAAATGACCAACCATGGTGTAGAAAGCCTGCTGGCAACCCAAAACTGGTTACACTTGTTTAGAACATCCTGCTGCTTGAAATAGCAGTGATGCTGTGTCTGCAGTAGAGTTCCCAGTCTTGCCAGTGCTGGTGGAGAATTCTAAATCTGAGATGCTACAGAAATATTTTTGGACTAGATCCTAAGGACATGGTCCTGTAAATACTCTTGGTCTGATGCTGTCTGGTATCTTGAAGCACCAGAAGCCATGGTAAATAAATATTATTGCTAAATAATGATTTCTGTGCAGAATCAGAGCTGCACATGGTCTGGCTGACTTTTATAATCCTGAGTTCTGGTATCAAGATGAATAATCATCAGTATTTAGCTGATTGTGAGAGTTGTGAATTCCCCTCGTCTCTATTTTGGAAGAGAAAAAGCAGGCTCTGAAAATATTCATTCACCAGGACTTTGATGGGAACACCACAGTGGTGTTGATCTGTCTAAGGGGTTGATTGGTGTAAAATTAAATAGGTTTGTTTCCAGTGTCTGTTCAGAGAAAAAGTCAAACTACCAGTCAACTACAACAACAAAACCACAAAACAAATCCCCCCAACAACCTTCCTCACCAGCAAAAAAAACCCCAAACAAACAAAAAAAACCCAAAAAATCAGATCAGAGACAAAAAAATTCTCAATTCTTTAGAAACCAATCAGCTAACCAGTACTCAAAGCAATTCTCAGTATTATCAAATTTCACTGTTGCATTTTCTTTTCTTTTCACTGCCATTCCCAGTCAGTAACACTGGTTTTCTTTGGCTAATATCTGTCTGTTAGAATGCATCTACACTAAGCACTTGTGCCTGGATGGGAGGCAGATACACCTGGAAATTTATGACCCTTGCTCACAGGTAAGAATTTCACAGGAGGAGGATAAAGAAAAGCTGCTCTTCATTACCTCTGGATATGGTAAAAAGGGTCAAGGGGTTACAAACTTTTGCTTGTTGGAATTTGTGCCTGCTCTTTTGTTTTGTTTTGTATTTTAAAGAGTGAAATTTTATAGTTGCTGGGACTCTGAACTGAACTACTTTTCCATTTCCCCAAAGAAACCCTTCATTACTGACATTTTCTGGAAATGCATTTGTAATTTAGACTAATACTAACAGAAATAATTATCATTTTTGCTTTACATAGGTAAATACAGAGATAAATTACTGGATTACATGCAAATACCCTAAATAAATGAAATTTAGCTTATAAAGCAAACAGTTCATTAAATGGCTGCACAAATGGTCCAAGCAGAGAGGCCTGGAAGTCAGGTTTGCATTCACAGGACAATTTCCTTTCCCAAGGAATGCAGCTTGTACACTTTGACAATTAAAATTTAGCCACTCTGAAATGAAGTTTTGTTTTAATTTATTTAGTTTACAGGAATAAATAAACTTAGGTGCTGTGTGACACGTGCTGATCACCCTGGCTCCCCAGGCTCCCTTTTGGGCAGCTGGGGTAAGGAATGAAAACCAAACCAAATGAAAGTCTGAGCCCACACTTCAATTCAGGGATGTAAAAACTTTACCAGTGTTAATACAAACAGCATTGCCTGTCCCAGGGCACAGAGAATCCTGAAACAGCCACTATGAGCTCTCTTGTACTAGTTTTTTTTTTTTTTTTTCCTTAGGAACAAGGCCTAACTTTAGTTATTTAGCAAAAATTTTTTTTGTTGTTTTTTTTTTCTGATCAGCTTCCGGTATTTTATCTATTTTTAGGTCATATGGTCTTGCTAGATGCTGCCAAATCATGTGCAGGGATAAGTTAATTTTAAAGAGTTTTAAAATTACACTCCCTTGCAGATGTTGCTTTCTGGGAATCAGAAGTGTGGCAGTTTGTTGGTGTGAAGAGAGTCAAGGGTTGGTATAACCCAATTGACTTTCTTCACTGGTTTTATTAAACTCAACTGCAGATTGAAAGAAGATTTTTTTTTCCCTAGCTCCTCAGAAATTTAACACGTGGGTAATTAGTGTTTGAAACTTGGACAATTCAAAGAGGAAAGGAAACAAATGAAGAAAATGGTCAAGGTTGTAATCAGAGTATTGGGAACAGGCAAACCAGAGCTACAACCACAAACACACAAATGTTGATGGCTCCTGGATGTTCCATTCTCATCTAACCCTGCAGAATATTAAGTACATTAAGTAGGTTGTGGAATTTCACTTCTTAAATGAAGTGTAAATGTTTCCTAATGAACTTGCCAGTGATCCAAAATGCCATTTTTGATGCCGGTTATTTACAAGGCTTTTGGAGCAGCACCAGCCCGAATTCAATACAGCAGCTAGAGCTAGGAAATGCCTTTAGGCAGGGAAGTTGCAGTGTTCTCACGTTCACGGTGGCAGAGAAGAGGCTCTGAAGGGGCAGGGGCAGCATTCCTTTCCCGTGTGCATGTGAGGTTTTTGCTGCTGGCAGGGGAAGCTGTCCCTTGCCGAGGAGCTGCGCTGGGCTGATGGATTTATCATCGTCTACGACATCAGCGACAGAGCCTCCTTTGCCTTTGCCAAGGCCCTGCTCTACAGCCTCAGAGAGGCTCACACAGCAGCCTGCAAAAAGTAAGTGGCATCATTTATATTGTTGTTTTTTTGTTTTTTTTTTTTTTCCCCTCAGCAAAATGGAGAAAAGCTGAGAAGGATTTTGTGAGCTTAGTAACAATTAAAACCCAGCAGCATCAAAGTGCAACAACAGCAATGTGTGGCAAACTCCAATCGGTTTTACTGTATCCAAACCCAAGTGCATCAGGATTTTTGTTCTTATTTCTTGCAGAGCTAATATTTAAATGGTTGCCATAAAGATTTCTGCTGTGATTTACACAGGTAAAGAAGCCTGGCACAGTCAGTCTGTGCTTTTACTCTCCCACTCAATTACCAATGGAGATACACAAACACAGGGGCTGAGGAAAACATTCCCCACATTAAAGGAAAGTAATAACACAAATATCTCCTCAGCTGCCTCTAGCTGTGACCCCAAAGTCATTTGTGCACATGGGTGACCACATGGTAAGAAAGAAAGTATTTTAAAAAAAACAAGAATCACCAGAACTGCAGGTGTGAGTGTGGATGGGGGTGTACATTTATTCCTGCCTCAATCAGCTGAGGTGCTTTCTAAACAAAAGAGTGAAATCCTTCACCTGTATCAGAAATGGAGTAAAACCCCCGTTTTTCTGTCTGTTTTACTGCTGACCTTGCTTAATTAAGGTTAATTTCTGACAGGAATAATTTTAACAGAAGCTTGGAATTAGATTTCCTGTGTTTCCTTCTGAGTTATGCCCCTGACACTGATGTATCTCCTGGGCTCTGTTCTGTTACCTGCAAATGGAGATAATGATCAGGTTGTTTCTTCAGTGAAGTCCAGGTGCTGACAATATACTCAGCAGCACAGAGCAGGAAAAAAGCAGTGGATTAAAAAAATACATTCATTCTTTGAGTAGAGAAAATAAAATGTAAATCTACTGGTAAAGAATAGTCTGGAAAAATGGAAAAACTAGAATTCTTCCTGGCAAGGTGAAGGGGCTGGCTGGTTCATTTTGGGGTTTTTTTTTTTTTTGCTATCCTGAACATACATACTTTTCACAGTGAATATAGCACAGCATGTGGTGCAGCGTTGTATATACATTTAACTGGAACATTTTTCATTGCAGAATGGTCGAGCCATCGATATTTTTGGTTGGCAATAAACAGGATTTATGCCACATGAGGGAGGTTGGCTGGGATGAAGGACAGAAGCTGGCCATGGATAACAAGTGCCAATTCTGTGAACTGTCTGCAGCAGAGCACTATCAGGAAGTTGTGGCAATGTTCACCAAAGTCCTCAGGAATATCACTTCCAATTCCAAAGTGAAGGAGAAGAGAAGACCCAGTGGTTCCAAGTCCATGGCCAAATTAATCAACAACGTGTTTGGGAAGAGAAGGAAATCTGTGTAAGAGATGTTAGGCCTGAGGTTGGAACAAGCTGAAATAAAGGAGCAGAGGCAGCTCTTGGGATTCACAGAATTTCCTCCAAAGGTCAATACCTGGAGGAGTAAGACAGTAGAAACCAAAGGTGGGAGACAGCATGGTCCAGACTTAGGAGACCTGACTTCTATTTCAGGCTCTGCTACAGATTTCCTGTTTAGGGCTGTGCCACTTAAAGTGTAAACTGCTCCAGATTAAAAACCAGGAGAGGTTTAGTCTGGGTTTATTCAACACCAACATGGTCTTGGGTAGAGCTTCTAGGTGCAACTGAAGTATAAACAGTTATTTCACAGATTCATTTCTATTGGAAAAGACCCTTAAGATCATCAAATCCAGCCATTAACCAAACACTTCCAAGTCTACCACTAAACCATGTCCCTAAGTGCCACATAATATCCAGTAAACTCAGCCTTGCTGATCAAAATCTTACTTCAGAATTGTCAGTAGTTGGGTTTTTTGTGTCGTTTGTTGTTTGGTTTTTTTGTGTGTGTGTGCAAGGACAGTTGCACTAAAGAAAAGCAAAATACTGTGGCTTCATGTGGCAATGTATTTGTATTTAACTCAGGTCCTTGTGTGCCTTACACTTGCTGAAATTCAT